AGGACACTTTGTCAAATGAAATCTTAGGTAGAATCCTGATATACTACATAAAAAAAGACTAGAGATGAAGCCAATGACTTTTCTTTGCCTTTGATGGGAGCCCCTTACCTCTGAGATAAATGGCATAAAAATCACAAATGTATACAAATTCTAATTTTTTTTTATGATCTACAATTCAGAGTTACTAGGATTTTCCAAAGGTTATCCAACAATGAACCAACCCATTGCCATTGAGTAAATGTTGACTTATGGCAACCGTATGGAGCCCTGATGTCACAATGGTTAAGAGTTCGTGTGCTAAAAATGGTCAGCAGTTCAAATCTACCAGCCTCTCCTTGGAAACGCTATGGGGCAAATCGCTATGAGTTAGAATCGACTCAACAGCAAGGAGTTTGTTTTTTTTGGTTTGGCAACCGTATGTGTGACAGAATATAACTATGCTTCACAGGGTTTTCAGTGACTTCTTTTGAGAAGTAGATGGCCAGGGCTTTCTTTCAAAGCATCTCTGGGTGGACTCCAGCCACCATGCTTTTGATTAGTAGCTGAGCATGTTAACTATTTTCACCACCCAAGTTAATAGTGAACCCATTTCCAAAACAGATTTCTGATTCCAAATTTCAAAGATGGCCACACCTATGTATATATTTCATCCCACATGTCTGACAGTGAGATTGATACTCCTTCCATCAAGAAGTCAGGTGTATCTTCCCTTTCCTTGAATCTTGAAGGGGCTGGTGACTACCTTGACCTCTAAATGTTCAACAGAAGTTTTGCTATGTGACTTCTGAGGCAAGGTCATAAAAGCAACAGTATGTGCCTGGATTTCTCTCATTTTTGAATGCTGGCACTTGACATTTAGCCCATGCTTTGAGGAAGCTATGCTACATGATGAGATCATAGATGAATGTTCTAATATTGATCCCCAGATAGACTTCCAGCAAACATTCAGTATCAAGCACCAGACACATGAGTAAATGAGCCTTCAGATGATTCCGTCTAAATGAGCACTAAGTAAGGGAGCAACATCAGTCTCCTTTTATCTTAATATATATTTTAGAATTTTTCATCTTCAGGTTAAGTTGTATGTTGCTGCATAACAACTTATTTGTTTAGGTCAGGAATTTCACAAAGTTTCATCCAAAAGGGATGGTTTAATATCTGCTCAAGGATACTTGGAAGACTTGGCAGCTGGGGGCTGGAATCATCTGAAGTTTCATTTACTGCAGAAACTCAAAGGCATTGAAATTATTATGAGTTTCTGCAGCTAACCCACCAGCTGCTCCATGGGAGAATGATGCGGCATTCTGCTCCCTTAAAAATTTATATCCAAGGAAACCCTATGGGGCAGTTCTTCTCTGTCCTATAGGGTTGCTATGAATCAGAATCGACTTAATGGCAATGGGTAGAAGTTAAATAGGTAAAGTTATTGACATTAATTTTCTAAACTCTAATATGTAATATGACTTAGTTGTCTATTATTTTAAGGAACCAGATAGTTGTCAAAGTGTTTCTCCAACAATCTATAGCATAAATTAAAAGCATGAACTCTCGACCCAGACTGCCTGGATTTGAAACCCAGCCTTACCATTTAAAACATATGATTTTTGAAAAAGTTACGTTCTCACTTTGTGTTGAAGTTTCACATACATAATGGGTATAATAATAGTGCCTACTACCTCAGAGTTGCCGTGAACCCTAAATGAGTCGATCTATGCTATGTAATGTGCTTTAAAACATTAGTATGTAGTACTGGAGGGATCCTAGAAGACACGGCCCCCGGACGCTCTGTTAGCCCAAAACTAAAACCATTCCCGAGGCCACTCTCCAGACAAAGATTAGTCTGGACTATAAGACATAAAATGATACTCGTGAAGAGTGTGCTTCTTAGTTGAAGTAGATACATGAGACTAAACGGGCAGCTCCCATCCGGAGGTGAGATGAGAAGGCAGAGAGGATCAGGAGCTAGTTGAATGGACACTGGAAATCAGGATGGGAAGGAGAGGGGGAGTGTGCTGCCACATTATAGGAAGAGCAACTAGGATCACATAACAATGTGTGTATAAATTTTTGTATGAGAAACTAACTTGAATTGTAAACTTTCACTTAAAGCACAATAAAAAGAAAAAAACAATAGTATGCTGTAAGCATTATAAAGCATTGGGTATCAGTGTTGTTGTTGTTGCCAATAATTTCCAATTTCTTTTGAATAGTGAGACTAACTTAACCGAATTGTTAATTTTATCTACATTTTATTGTACATAAATAGTGGATACCAATAACAAAGCAGAGCTAGATAACCTCCACAAGGAAAAGCTGATAACAAGAGAAAAGATAATAGTGAATATTTACTGAGAAATTATAACAAAACTGATTGAAAATTTCCAAATCACTATCTCATGTAATACAACTTCCATATGAAGAAGGCCTTATTAATATTACATGCTTTATATAAAGAAATTGAGTTGAAAAAAATTTTGAATAACTCGATTAAATGGAGGCAGACCTTTTCTACCAACTAAAATAGTACCCTGTGACCAATATTAATTTTTTAAAAAAATGTATTTTTACATTTTTCACAAAGGATACTAATGTAGCCTCCATAAACATACCCTGTATTATAAACTATGTCACTTATCCTTATTTTATGGTATCTGTGCCTGTGCCTGGTATAGAATGATGTATTTCCCTGTGTCCTATGCAAATACGTGAACATTTCTGTCTTAGTTATCTAGTGCTGCTGTAACAGAAATACCACAAGTGAAAGGCTTTAACAAACAGAAATTTATTTTCTCACAGTTTAGGGAGTTATAAGCCCAAATTCAGGGAGCCAGCTCTAGGAGAAGGCTTTTCTCCCTGTTGGCTCTTGGGGAAGTTCCTTGTCTCTTGAGCTTCTGCTCCTGGACAATCTTCATGTGGTTTGGTTTGGCATCTCTTTTCCTCCATCTCTGCTTTGCTCTCTTGTTTAATCTCTTTTATATCTCAAAAGAGATTGAATCAAGATACACCCTACACTAATCATGCCTCATTAACATTACAAGGACAATCCATGCTCAAATGGGATTATAACCACAGGCATAGAGATTAGGATTTACAAAACATATTTCTGAGGACCATAATTCAATTTCTTAAGCCACTTCCTATTGATGTTGTTAGTTGCTGTCAAGGTGATTCTGACTCATGAAGACTCCACGTGTGCAGAGTAGAGCTGCTCCATAGGGTTTTCAAGGTTGTGACCTTTTGGAAGCAGATCACCAAGCCTGTATTCCAAGGCACCTTTGCATGGGTTTGAACTGCCAATCTTTTGATTAGTAGTTCAGTGCTTAACCATTTGTTCTACCCAGGGACTTCAAGCCCCTTCCTAGGGTGTTTTCATTTTTTTTTTTTTTAGTAAATATTAACTCGGTAGGATATTCTAGATTTGCCAAAATTACTCACGTGGTGAGATTTTGGATGTGTTCTTTAAAATAATCCAGAAAGAGGTTTGGAAAAATGCTGTTAAATCTTCAGTGACACGACAGATTAAGAAGTTAATATTTAATCAATAGAGAAGGTGCAATATAATAAGCATGGACTTTGGATTATCATACTCCAGAGTTTGGGTCTTAACTCCTCATTTTACTAGCTAAGTGGCTCTGGGCAAGGTCATTCAACAATTTGAGATAAAGTTTATCCATCTGTAAAAATATAAAAGATAATAATGGACTTCATAAGGTAAAATTTTACATTAAATAAGATAAAACAAATACATTATGTTTGCCCTTATTTGTTTAATTTATTTTTATAGTGTTCTTCAATAAATGACAGGGATATACATAATAAATCATTATGGGGGCCAAAACTTGGGATGGGATTTTATTAGAGACACATTTTTAATCCAATGCTCTTTTTAATACTCTCGGAAGAAGTTATTCTCTAATATAATTTTGCTTAGTCATTTCTTTCTTATTGCTGGCAAGTAATTTCAGGATGTAGCCTAGCTTTCTGTAATTGATCTCTTACTTCTACTGCCTTAAGTCTGTTATTCTAATTTTCATATATCAAAAGCCCTCTTTGCTTCATTCTCCTTGTAATTTATCATTCTTCTTCCCTGGACAAAGCTTCCACATCCCAGGAGGGATCATTTTGAGAAAGTAATTTTAAATATGTAGATGATTCTACTCAATAATGTTTTACTTATATGAGCACAGCATAGAAAAATCTTTTTTTATCCAGTAAAAATATATCACTATTGAAGAGTGGTTCTGTTAACTAATCCTGGTATGATGGTTAGGTCTCTCTACTAGACAGGCCTTGCTCAAAACAATCCATTGTCATCAAGTTGGTTCCAACTCATAGTGACCCTGTAGGACAGAGTAGAACTGCCCTTTATTGTTTCCAAAACTGTAATCATTAGGGAAGCAGACTGCCTCATTTTTTTCCCATGGAGCGGCTGGTGGGTTCAAATCTCTGACCTTTTGATTAACAGCTGAGCAGTTAACCACTGTGCCACCAGGGATCCTATAAAGGCCCTACACTTGTTATAAAATGTCAATTAAATTGTTGACCTTATTTTTGGTGGTTGAGTTTCAGGGATAAACTCTTATCTAATGCAATGCTGGAGCACTGGCGGTGCAATGGTTAAGAGCTCCGCTGCTAACCAAAAAGTCTGCAGTTCAAATCTACCACCCACTCCTTGGAAACTCTATGGGGCAGTTGTTTTGTCCTATAGGGTCTCTATGAGTTGAAATTGACTCAGTGGCAATGGGTTTTGTTTTTGCTTTGCTGTTTTTTGCGTGTAATGCTAGCGCTCTGATAGCTAATTATTGATGCTTTTTATTTTCCTTATTCATCCTTTTATCATCTTGTAGTTGACATAGCATCCTCAGAGTTTCCCACAACAGAGAGGATTTTTTGGACTGTATATGAAGACTGAGTTTTTAAAAATTTAAATACTATTTTACTGTAGAAATAGTAGTTTATCAGATTTTATAATTATTTTTTCTTTTTTATGTTTTCTACAGGTAACCCATTATTGACCAGCAAAGTCAATGTACTTATTAATGTTCTAGATGTCAATGAATTTCCACCGGAAATATCTGTGCCATATGACACAGCTGTGTGTGAAAATGCCAAACCAGGACAGGTATTGTACCAATATTGTTAAATGAAAAATGGTATAAAAATCCAATATCTGCATGTGTTTTAGGTTATATATCCATACATGAATACACACACACATATACGTGTAGTTTTCTAGATCAGCTGTCTTCATAAAAAATACCATAAGAAATATTAAACTCTTATAAATTAATAATAGACTGTATAGATGTTGAAGTAACGCCACAGAGAATACAGAGTCAGTAGCTTAGATAACATTCGTTGTATGGCTAAAAGGTCTAGAATTGTGGATTTTGATACATTTGTCTACTTCCTTACTGTGGAATTTCTAAAGAACATGTCACTATAAACTCAGTAAGCAAATGACTTTAGTATACATTCTCCCAGAATATCTCTTATTTTGATTACATGCTTTCTTGAAAGGATGAATAAAAGTTCTTAAGCTTACTGAAAAAGTAAAGCTTTTCTCTCTGTGGTCTCTAGGAGAACATCTGCATCATGCAAAATGCCTTAAGTACATTTTCCTTATTAGGTCAATATTGCTGTTGGGGGAGGGGAGGCTCTAGCAGGTCGACACTATGAGGAAAGATTGCGTAAAGTTATTGTCAAAGTCCTAGGTTTTATGTGGAGTGATGATGGGTTGCAATTTTTTTTGTGTTAAACTACTATAAATGAATGAATGAATGAATAATATAAAGAGAATCAGGAATGGGCAAATGATGAGAGTGTATCGTGAAACAAGAATATGACTTATCTAATTCTGTTTACCTAAGTTCCTAAGGAAAAATGCATCAGTATTTGTATTACAACATGAATGATTTAGTCAGAGTTTACCAAATGAGAAATGGTGGGTCCTTCCTTTTGAATACGCACAGAAGTGTGCTTAAAGCATTAACCCTTTACCACCTAAACTGCACCCCTCATTTACAGAGATGAGCCAATTGCTTATTTCAATGTCTGAAAGAGTAGATGCTTCATAGAAGTTTGCACACAAATAAATAACATTATTTGGGAAGTTATGACAATTTTACCAAAATTCTACAACTGAGGCATTTTCCGCTTTCTGGACCACTATAGGTTCGCTATGAGTTGGAATCCACTCGACTGGGTTAGTAGTTAGTTACGAGTTGGAATCAACTTGATGGCAGTGGGTTATACAAAAAAAAGAAAAAGCCAATCCTTGATTGTTAGGTAATTAGGTAATTAATGATTTCAGATCAATCAGAATTGTGTAATGTGCTAAATGAAAGTTTTTGTTTTTTTTTAAATACAGCTCCATTTGATGTTTATGTGTTTGTCTAGTAAATTAAAGGGGTAAAAAGCTGGGATTAGTAGAAGACACTAAAGATCAACTTGTTTTTCCTATATCTGTGAAAAGTGATGAGAAGTCTGCTGGATCCTTGCAGGCTTTTTGCTACTGGGACACACTTATGTACAAAGCATAGCTCTATTATAGGAAAAGTTTCTCAGGAATTTTCAGGGCATATAGTTTACAAGTATTTTCTATTTTTGATCCTAGCCATTCTGCCCCAGGTTTAGGAACTATGCAAAGGAACTATCTTTCTCTGTTGGGCTATACTAGAATTTCTACCTACCTACCTATCTATCTATCTATCATCTATCTATCTCTCTCTCTGTCTGTCTGTCTACCTATCTAGCTGTCTATCTATCTACCTATCTGTCTACCGAGAGAGAAAAGAGAGAATATGATAATATATAAATGAGTAAAAATTCAAGGGGAGTTGTTTTTCCCTAAGGTAGTGAGTGACTCCCAAGGGCCAGTTCCAGAGAATTGCCATACTACAGCGAAATTTTCATTTGCATATGCTGCTTAAAAAAATATGTTTTGGTTCTAAAAATTATGTCCTTTATACTTTTTGATGTTAAATACCTTTAGTTTAGTAAGTAATGATGCTAGAAGATGAGAGTTGAAAAGAAAACAAACAAAAACACAAAATAAAAATGCCTTGATAATCAGTATTGGTCCCCAAATAATTTACAGAAATTGTACTGGTGAAATTTTAGTGATATGAGGGCACTTCTATGTGACAAAAAGCTGAAATTGGATGAAGTTGACACATTCCATTATATTCCCTCTGATGTTAAAAGTCTCACCTATGATAATGCAAAAGAGTGAATGGATCCTGGGCAACCAATTCACAGTAACATGGGGAACTGTGATTGACACCAGGGGACCAATTTGTTAAATTACCCATGACTAATACAGCACTTGAACACTCAAAATCTTGGTGATGTGTACTTTTTAAAATGTTTTTCTTTTTTAGGTGCAGCTATATGGGAAGTTAGATCATAGACATTAGACTGCATTTTAATCATGAAATCAGAACAAAAAACAGTAGATGAATCACGTGTTTAATGGTATCAATCTAAGATAGCTTGATGCATAGTTTAAACACTGAGTCCAGAATATAGTACTTGGAATCAAAGGTGTCCTTCTGGAAAATTCTCCAAATTCTATTGAAGAACATCTTATTGAAGCATCAGAATTTTAACTACAAGATATACAACCTCTGGGAACAATTGAGGAGAAAATTTGGAATAGGGTTGATAATGCTTATCTTTATAAAAAATCTACGACAACACATTTTTACCCTACCCAATGTGGGGTTAAAAAAAAAAATAACAACAAAAACAGATACACATCCTCTGCTTAACTCTTTATTATCATTTTTTAATAAAAACAAAGCTCATTCTCACAAATATACATGTACTAAAATTTTGCTATCGAAAGGGCTTTTAAATAATCAGAGATCTTGTTTTCAGTAAGCATTTTACTATTTAGGCTAAGAAAACATTTATTTCATCTACTTTAAAATGCAAGCAAGTGCATTTCAATTTTATTTTGCTTATTAGTGAGAATTTTCAATGCTGTTAAGCTTTTTATTTAAGCAGATATTGATTCAAAATTTACTGTAATCTTACCTGCCATTATTACCTGTGAATAAAGATTTGTTTATAAAAATTGTTTGTAAATAATTGGCCCACTGACATGAATCCTAAAAGTGTTGTTTCTAGCTATTTGCATACTTCATTAAATAAACCTATTAACCTGGGGTGTAAAGTTCCCTTTGAAATTGTTGACTGATTTCAGGTTTAATCTCAACTTTGTTTCAGATAATTCAGATAGTCAGCGCTGCAGACCGAGATCTTTCACCTGCTGGGCAGCAGTTTGCCTTCAGAGTATCTCCTGAGGCTGCCATCAAACCAAATTTTACAGTCCGTGACTTCAGAAGTAAGTTTAAACACATAAAAATTTACCTCTTGTCAGGTAACTTTGTAAAGGGACATAAAAGTAGAATTCAATGTTTTTCCTCAAAGCACTCAAATTCATACAATATGGAAAGCCATATTACAAAATTTTATATCCAACAGTAAATTAAATATTTAACCTTATAGACTGTATCTAAGGAGGCCAGTTACTTCCACTTACAATGTGGACAATTCCCTATTGAGTGGAGCAAACAAAAGGCTATCTGGAAAATTGCATGATAACCCTTTTAAATGTATTATTAACTCCACATGCACATTGCTTTTGAATACAAATAGGAAACCTTCTAATAACTGTTTTATTTGAATAATACATAATGCAGTGCAGGTTAAAAACATAGGCTTTGATGTTACAGTGATATAGGTTTACATTCCAGCTCCATCATTTCCTAAGTATAATATCTAAAATTGTATTAAATAATGCCAACCTCACAGTATTTGCATTAACTAAGATAATGTATGCAAACCTTTAACATATGCCTAGAACATACTACTTGTAGGATTTTTTTATCTACTATCCCTGCCATTATTTCCACACTTAAACTACTACTGCCACCATCACCATAACTGTTACTACTACTACTGTTACTATTGCATATGCTACTAATTGAACCACTGCAAAAATAGAAAACCATTATATTAGGAATATTTACACTATTAGCTTCCGTGACATTTGTTATGTTACTCTAAGTTTCTATATCCTATAAAACAGAGATTCAAAATACTTGATTTTATAATTTCTGTAGTTATGAATATCCAATTGTATTCAGACTGCAGTGTTGGTGAAGAGTATTGAATGTACGTGTGGGCTGCCAGAAGAATGCATATGTCAGTCTCAGAAGGAATGTAACCAGAATGCTCCTTAGAAGCAAGGATGGCAAGACTTTGGCTTACTTACTTTGGACACATCATTAGGAAAGACCAATCGCTAGAAAAGGACATAATGGTAAATTAGAGTGTGAGCGAAAAGAGGGAAACTCTCAATGAGATGAACTGATACAATAACCACAACAGTTGACTCAAATGTACCAATGATCATGAAGATGGAACAGGTCATGAGTTGCAGTTGACTCAATGGCACCTAATGACAATGAGTATAGGATTAAGACACATACTTACAAACACATAAATACCACACCCACACATTTTGAAAAAAGATAAATTCTATACTTACAGAACAAATGAACTCAACATGATGATGATGGTGAGGAGGAGGAGGTTAACTGATAGAAGTCAAAGAATACTTTAAAAAACCTTATTTGCTTGAAATAATAAATAATTAGGGGAACAAAATGAGGGTCACCAAATTATGTTAGTGATGGAATTTTAGTGTGGTTTGATGAATCATACACAGTGATGTGAAGAATGGCTATAAATGACTCTGGGTCCCAGCCATGAAGGGCTTTTTAAGTAGAATGACCACGTAATTTATCATCAAAACTAGAAACTTTTGAGAATTGAAATGGGAGCTATTAATAATTTTAAATCAGGACAGTACACATTAAAAAGAAGCTATCCAAAGCAAACCAAACTATGTGGTTATTTTAACATAGTCCATTTTTTCAAAAATAATTTATTTTTGTTTTTATTGTTGGGAATATATACAGCAGAACATACACCAATTCAACAACTTCTACCTGTATAATTCAGTAACATTGATTACATTCTTCAAGTTGTACAACCATTCTCACCCTCCTTTTCCAAGTTGTTCCTCTCCTAATAACATAAACTCACTGCCCCCTAAGTTTCCTGTCTAATCTTTCAAGTTGCTGTTGTCAGTTTAATTCCGTAAAGATAGATCTTAAAAGAGCACAGTGCTCAAGGCAGGTATTCTTTTCTAGTTAAGCTAAACTATTGGTTTTGAGAAGACTTCAGGGAATACTTTTGGTTTAAGGTTAAGCTTTAAATATTAGGGTAATAGTTTCAAGAATTAATTCAGCCTCCATAGCTCCAGAAAGTCTGAAGTCTATGAGAATTTGAAATTTTATTCAGCATTTTCCTCCTTTTGATCAGGATTCTTCCATAGAAAACTTGATCAATATGTTCAGTAATGGTAGCCAGACACCATCCACTTCTTCTGGTCTCATGGCAAAGGGGGCAGTTGATCATGTTACATTCCATTTCTTCCTCCTATTTCAGACTCTCCTTCTTCCTCTGTGACTTCAGGTGAATAGAGAACAATTGTTGTTCCATGAATGGCTGCTTGCATGCTTTTAAGACCCCAGGCACTGCACAACAAACTAGGAGGTAGAACAGAAGCACTAAACACGATACTCGGCCAATCAACTAGATTGCCTCATGAAGCCATGGCCCTAAACCTCCAAATCCCATGAGAAGTTTGATTGTACATAAGCAGCCTCAGCAGCTACTCTTTTGTTTTTGCTGTAAATATATCTATCACACAACTTCTGGGAATCCAACTTTTTACAGGTGTACAACTTATTGACAGCAATTACACTAATCAGCTGTGCAACCCTACGCTTAATCAATGTGATTTTTCCCTCACTGTAAGAACTTAAATTCAATGACTTGAGAAGTCTCTTAAAGGTTTAAGGAAGGGATGGTGTGTTCAGATTAGTATTTTATTTTGCATGCAGCATGGAAGAATCATTAGAGGGAGATAAGACTAATTCTGATGCTATTGCAGTAATTGAGTGAAATAGTCTTAGATTAAGGTAGTGGCTGTGAGGATGCAAACAGTAAATGGAGAGAGAGTTTATAGAGTTTAATGCTAGATCCACTAAATTCAACATGGGATTATGAAAGAGAAGAAGACGAATCAGACTTCCAGATCACTGACTTGGATAAGTAAGTAGACCATCACGTCACTCACTAAACATAAGTATTGACTATGTTCCATTATTGGATGTTTGCTGTAGAAACAAAATCAGCTTAATCATGATAATAAAGACCCACTCATCTTGCCTCTAGCATGGTGTTTCCTCACATTCTGAACTTGAACTTGTATTTGCCGCTCTTCTGACATTTACCACGTACTCCATTTTACTTTAAATTATGTTTGTAAGTTCTTTTTTTTTTTTTTTAAGTGGATTGAAACAATTTTAAGGGAAGAAAAAAAAGTTTAACATAACATTTTCTTCCCACTGTGGGAAATGTAATGTATTTTGTGTGACTGGTCCTCAAGAAACAATAACAGAATGAAAATAAACATAAATGGCTAGTCTGGTTCTTGACATCAAATTTGTTCAAGAATACCTAATCCCCTCAAAATACTAAGTGAAGATAAACGAGCTTCTCCTTCTGACTTCCTATTTTTATTAATAATTTTCACTCAAGTCTTAAACCTTAATCATTTACTAGTCTTTTTCCAAAGCTCAAGTATTGGTCCACCAATTGTTGAAGATTTCAATGTAATTTCAGCTTGCTCCGATTTTTGCATCCCATGTCACCACATATGCCTGGCATCATTAACTCCTTTTTGGGAATGTTTTAACAAACTCATATGTGACATCTTGGTCTTTTATTTTCAATTTTCAAATTTTCTCTATACAATAATAATATATTAATCTATAAATAATATAATTAATAATTAATTAATATCATGTAAAGTTTTTTCAACGTGGTGTTCCTAATGAAATACATGTAGAACAATTGCTTAAATTTTGGTTGTTGAAATTAGTGTCTACAAAGAGCAGAACTGAATATGATTGAAATAGTAACAATTTATGACAGCCCTGTCTTGTAATGATGATATGATTTTCTAAAATCATTTTATCTGATTATCAAGCATGTGTCATGCGTGGTGATATTAACCTAAATATTCACTGATTTTTAAAAAATACCAAAGTGTTTCTAGGAATTATTTTAATAGACATAAAAAATCAAATACTCTTATGAACAAAACAAAACTTCTGCTTATATGTGTAGAAATAAAATAAGTGAAGAGCAAAGACATGCAAAATAGCAGTTTCAGTAAAATGTTAATTACATTTGTGTAAATGTAGAAGTATTTAATTGCCTTGGATTATTCCAAGCAAATATTGCTATCATTGGGTTTTATTAGAACTAGTATAAATATTTTTGTAGTTATATTTAAATGTTGATTGCTATAATTTATCATGTTTAATTTTTAAATAATGTTTGTAATGCTATTTTCACTTCAATTTTTATTTTTCTGACTGATATAAAAGAGTGAGATTGTATATATAACAAAGATTTGGATAAAAACATCAACTATAATCTTAAACAGTCAATCAATTTTTGTTATATTTGAAAGAATAAATTCTTAGATATTTTATACATTCATACTTTGTAATCTTTGCTCTTCTGTCATGCAAGAAAACATGCACACAAGTAGTTTCTTCTCAATGAGATTTTGATGTCAGGGGAAAAAAAAAGGATCAATACAACACACTTTTTTTTTCCTACATTCTTTCTGAAAAGAAATCTTAATTTGTACACCAGACAAGATTAATGTTCTTCTTCCCTGAAGGATTATTTTGATTGCACTTGATTACATTTTGGCAGCTTTCGTAATGATAAAAGAAAGAACTAAAATATGGATACATTTTACTGATTCAAGAAGAGTTCCCTACTGTTTTAACAGATGCCAACTTTAAGATCTGAAGCGAAGCTCACAGTAACCATCTTATCATAAATGTCATATTTTGTAGACAACACAGCTGGAATTGAAACCCGGAGAAACGGATACAGCCGCAGGCAGCAAGAGTTGTATTTCCTCCCTGTCGTAATAGAAGACAGTAGTTATCCTATCCAGAGCAGCACCAACACAATGACTATTCGAGTTTGTAGATGTGACTCTGATGGTACCATCCTGTCTTGTAATGTGGAAGCAATTTTTCTACCTGTAGGACTGAGCACTGGGGCTTTGATAGCAATCCTACTGTGTATTGTTATACTCTTAGGTTGGTTTCAATATTAATCACATTCTTTCTCTCTCTTGTCTCTCTGTCTCTTCTCAATTCACCATATAAATCATTTTTTCTGCCTTGAGATAACACATCTATAAAAATTAAATTTGTATTAAAGTTAATTTTGTAGTTCACGCCTCAGAGATATATATTATTAGGACTAAATAAGTAACCATCACAAAACATACAAAAATATGGTCAAGCTGTAGGAGATTTTCAAATAATAGTTTGTGGCCCTTGTCACAATGAAATGCTGTATAACAAATATCCATCTACAACAAAGGTTTCTTAATTCATGCCACTACTGGTAATTACTATTGTATAATAACAGATTATGTAACTTTTTAAAAAAAAAATGCTAGATGGACAGCAGTTTTCTAGAGAAAGAAAGAAAAGGAGTGAGGAAAATAATAGGGAGATAAAAGGAAGCCCCAAATTTATTTATTCTTTTTAAACTGCCAGCTAGACGTGATTCTTCTTTCACTTTCTAATATCTATTCAGATCAAAATTCTAACCATTCCCACTAGAACAGAACAGAACAGACTAAAATTTCTGGACTCGAGAAGGACAAGGCTGGAGGGATATGTATTCTGTAACATCTCTGTTAGAGTGAATATAAACCTACTTCAGGGGTTTCCTGTTTCCATCAACTGTTCTGCTGACTCCATTTCACTTACTAATTCACTGACTGATTCACAAAACCAGAGACAACTTTTCTTTTTTGCCTCCATGCCTTTAAATTCAAATGCAACAAATAAGATTGGGAACCACTGTGTAACCATTTTATAAATGCAAGTTTATTATTTAAAAAAAAAAAGCAAGTCTGACAAATGTAAATACCCACCTTTATTTCTAGGGTATAAAACAAAAAATGTTTTAAAAAATAATAATAATACCATGTGAAACAGAGATTAAGGCATTATACAATAGCTTGCAGAAAATTTTCCTGAGTCAGAAGCTTGTGCTGGCTTTAAAGGATGAAGTTCTAGCCTAATTTGCTTGGTGTGGTTATTTGTTCCAGAGCCCTGGTGGCACAGTGGTTAAGAGCTTGGCTGCTAACCAAAAGGTTAGCAGTTTGAATCCACCAGCCACTCACTGAAATCCCTATGGGGCAGTTCTACTCTGTCCTACAGGGTCACTATGAGTCAGAATCAACTTGATGACAATGGATTTTTTTGAGCAAGGCCTGTCTAGTAGAGATACCTAACCATCATACCAGGATTAGTTAACAGAACCACTCTTCAATAGTGATGTATTTTTACTGGATAAAAAAGATTTTTCTATGCTGTGATCATATAGTAAAACATTATTGAGTACAATCATCTACATATTTAAATTACTTTCTCAAAATGATCCCTCCTGGGTAGTAGTTATTAATTCCAGACAAGTGACTTGTATGTGCAGAAAAACCATCCCTTATACGCTTATAATTTATAACTAATTATCTCTGGCATCTGTTTGTGCTGTTATCAGAACATTAGAATGACTCAAAGTAACAATAAACCAAAAACCAAACCAAACCCTTTGCCGTCAAATCTATTCCGACTCATAGAGTCCCTATAGGACAGAGCAGGACTGCCCCATAGGGTTTCCAAGGCTATAATCTTTACAGAAGTAGACTGCTACATCTCTCTCCCGAGGAGCGGCTAGTGGGTTTGAATCACCCACATTTGGGTTAGCAGGCGAATGCTTAACCACTGTGTAACCAGGGCTCCTTCAAAATAACAACAGCACCTCTAAAAATGAACAAGATCATTTAGGTCTGTAACTTCAGATCAAGCTTTCCTCTCTCTTCTTCTCCTTTTAAGAATGATGAGTCCCAGGTCATTTTTATATCAACATGGAATGACCTGACATAATCTGAGTGCTTGCCTTTGGCCTCATATTGTCGTATAGTCAACAATGGGCTCATGTCGGCGTTATCATGCACTGCCATTTCCCACTCATGCATGGAAACACTTTCTGAGTGTCTACAGTGGACTGCACTCTCTTAGGTGCTGTGAATTTGCTGGAAATACAGCAGTGAATGTTAACCGTCATTGTACTACCATAGAATTTGATTAAAAATCCATCCTTTAGCCTTCCAGCTTCTTCTCAGGCATTTTCATGCCCTTCTTGGAGTGAGAGAAAGTACAGAAATTTTGGGGTGCCTTGGCCTCTTTTAGGCATTGTTTCAGGACATCTGCCTTGTCCCTTCCTCAGTAATGACTACTCTAAATCCGTCTTATATGTGGGGCTTGACTATGAGGCTTGCAGTGTCTCATGGGTGGACAGGCAAAAATCTCTATGGTTCTGAGTTCTCCCTAAATTCTGGGAGGAGTGTAAGGGCTAGACATAGCTCCAAGGCCCATTGTACCTAATTTCTAAATATTTTTCTTTCCTCCTTCCAATTGGTCGGACTCTAAATTTAGAGGAAAAGGGATAAATTGGCTTTATCATCATATATTCTTTACTTTCTAATTCAATGAACTGAGTATTCCAAAATCTGCTGTTTTAAATCAAAAGCACCTTGATTTTTAACCTATTTCCACTGCCATGGAGGAGAGGGGGAATCATGACAAGCAAAGCCGAGTGCTGATTTCATCATTTTCACCTGTGCCCATCCATCCCTAGAAGACACAAACACCATTGTTTTAATGGCTGAACTGCTGTGAAGCGACTGGGAACAAAACGATTTCTATCACAAGGGTATATAAATTAATGATTTCAAAATATTCTCTTACTTCATGAAGTTGACCTGAATAATAGACATTTGGTTTTGAAAATGTCTCCATATAGCAGGACATAGAACTGAAATTAATGAAGGAGCTTAGTTTATATGATTTGTGAAATCAAGGTCCTTATATTCTTTTTTTTTTCCTTCCTCTTTCCTCTCTTCCTCCCTTCATTAACCAGTCTCTTTCTCTCTCTCTCTCTTTATTTCTCTCTCATTGCTTTTAAAAGTAATTGTTACAGTGGGCATTTGGGTTTATTTCGTTAGAATCACAAACAGTATTACTACTGTGAAATTTAGCTATGAATGATTATTATGTTATTTATAGCTATAATATTCAAGTTTAATTACATCAACTATATCCAGTTTTATATACAGTTGAAAAGACATCTATGTTCTTTTTTTCATTTTTGTAACACAAAAATTTTACCTAATATTTAAATATTTATATGCAATACGTTTCGGTTGTTTCATTTTGTGAGTAATTTTGCTGTGGTTTCTTGTTGTTTACAGTTTAAGATTAAGTTGAGTTTAGAATGAAAAATTGTAAACGTGTATGATCTTTACTGAGTATAGTATGTTAACTCTGAAAATAATAGAAGATCACTAAACAAACTCAACCCTGATCAATTTTTAATCTTTATAAAGGGATGCACTGATTTATATCCTGCCTATTCTCAAATGGCAATTTTTGTCTTGTTCTAGCCATAGTTGTGCTGTATGTAGCTCTGCGAAGGCAGAAGAAGAAAGACACCCTGATGACCTCTAAAGAAGATATCAGAGACAACGTGATCCATTATGATGATGAAGGAGGCGGGGAGGAGGACACCCAGGCCTTCGACATTGGTGCTCTGAGAAATCCAAAAGTGATTGAAGATAACAAAATTCGCAGGGATATAAAACCAGACTCTCTCTGTTTACCTCGTCAGAGACCAGCAGTGGAAGATAACACAGATATAAGGGATTTCATTAATCAAAGGCTACAGGAAAACGATTTGGACCCCACCGCCCCACCATATGATTCACTGGCAACATATGCCTATGAAGGAAATGGATCTGTAGCGGAATCCCTCAGCTCTATAGACTCTCTCACCACGGAGGCAGACCAGGACTACGATTTTCTGACCGACTGGGGACCCCGCTTTAAAGTCTTGGCAGACATGTTTGGCGAGGAAGAGAGTCACTTAGGGGAAAGTGAAAGCTAAAACACAACCAAGAGGAGAAATTAAAAAAAGAAAAGGAAAGAAAAAAGGAAAAAGAAACATAAATAGAACTCACACACATGCAGACACACACACAGACTTTATAAGACAAGATTTCCTTGATTTTCTGGTTTCTAGCAAGTTGCTATATTTATCATATTGTCAGTTTTGGTTTATTCTGCCGACACAAGATAAATCCTATAATATATACTTGCTTTGTTTTATTTTGTTATTTTGGAAACATACTGAGACAAGCTCAGGCTTATTAAATACAATTTACTGACATGACAACCTAGAAGGAAGATAGCTATCTGGCATCACGGTGGAAGAGTGTTAGATTTTTCTTAATTCCACTAAAGTGCCTATTGAAACTCTTCTCATTTAAAGCGTGTACAGTACACTCTGCTGTGATGGCATTGCAGGATTCAGAGATAAAGAGGACATAAAACAAGACACAGTCTTCATGTCAAGGAGCAATAGCAACATGCTGACTCTTCTAATTCCTTTGAGGAAAAAAAAGAATATGAACTCCATCTTCTTATAATTCAAAGTCCTTTTTTTTTTTTGTTTTTTTAAACTGTATTCCAAAACACATTTGTTTTTTCCTGCCCCTCCAGAAAATTGAAATAGATATGATATTATCAAATTCAGTATGTAAATCTGGAATTTTAAAAGAAATTGTTTGGTCATATGATTAGTTCAGATTAAGGTTATTCATTAAAATGTTCTTTGTTTTCCAAAAAATAAAATTTAAAAAGGAAATAAAAAAATCTCTCTCTATAATGAGAGGTTTCAGAGCTCAAACTCCATATTAAAATAAATACTGGTTTTGTTTAATACTGTACTGGCGTGTGGAAGGTTGGTTTTAAAAAGTTGCTACATTGTTTAAGCCGTCAGTCATAGATAAAATTTCAAGCTGTCTTTTTATGAAATCTTCTGGGGGTAAAATGCCATTAACTGAAATAGGAGGAGTGACATTCACACAGCTTCTTAGAGTTTGTTTTAATGAAAAAGCCTTTGTTGAGCAGAGAAAATAAAATACATGTTAAGTGTGACATACTTTGAAGTAATACAAAAAGAGTTTATAGCATGTCTAAAAATAATTATTATACATTAATGAACAAATAAAAATCAGGGATTTTACAAAGATCAGACCAATGATTGAATCCTAAAATGAATACCACCTCAAAATCAGGCAGCTGATTCACTTACTTAGTAACATGAATTTCAATTTTGTGATGCCATTATTACATAGAAGCTTAGAACTGCCTCTTTGCTCTATCATTTACAATTCTAATCTACATAATCCCCTACAACTCCATGTAAAGAACGTTTATTTTTTAATTTGATGTAGATTTATAAGGATATTAGGTTTCATAACCATATAGGTAAATCACATTCATATATATTACTCGAAAGTAAATTGTTACACTATCTAGAAATGCATATAACAAAATAGATAACTAATTATAAAGTGACAATATATTTTCTTCCTGTGATAATTATACAGGTGACTACTGAAATCTGACACTATTTATTGGGAAAAAAAGTGGCTTATAGATTCATCCTAAATATACGATTCATATTATTGTTGTTATATGCTGTTGAGTTGATTTTTGACTCATAGCAACCCCAGGTGAAAGAGTAGAACTGCTCCACATGGTTTTTAGGCTGTAATCTTTACAGAAGCAGATCTCTAGGTCTTTTTCCAGTGGAGCTGCTTGGTAGATTCGAACCAAGCTTCCAACCATTGTGCCACCAAAAACTAAACAAACAAACAAAAATCATTGCCTTCGAGTTAATTCTGACTCGTAGCAACCCTACAGGACAGAGTCGAACTGCCCCATAGGATTTTCAAGGCTGTAATCTGTAATCTGCAGACTGCCACATCTTTCTCCCGCAGTGTCTGGTGGGTTCAAAAACTGCACCACTAAGGCTCTTCATATGGTTCACATCTAGATATATTTATATTTGCAAGGTTATGAAGGTAAAAATCAACACATGGAAAACTGGTAGAAATATGGATAATCTAGGCAAATTGTATCTAGCCCTATTTGCTATTAAATGCTTTCTTTAAAATTATCTAATTCACCCTTATGCTGTGCCAGTAGGCTATTTGAATCTGCATTTCTCATCCTTTTTTTGGTTCCTCACATTTGCATCCTCTCATTTTCACTATAGGAACAACTGTTGTATTCATTTCCCTCAAGTCATGACTGTCCCTTTGTCTGAGTCCTAGGATCTATGTTAGACTATCCATGTTATGTCACAGTCTGCGGTATAATATCCTGTGGGAAATGTCTAAATTGTAATGTCATAACTGTGTTGCTGTTGTTGTTAGGTGCTGTCAAGTCGGTTCCAACTCATAATGACCCTATGTACAACAGAATGAAACACTGTCTGGTCCTTCGCCGTTCTCACAATTGTTGTCATGCTTGAGCCCGTTGTTGCAATCGCTGTGTCCATCCATCACATCGAGGGTCTTCCTCTTTTTTGCTGACCCTCTACTTTACCTTCTCCAGGGAATGACATCCTTCTCCAGGGAATGATCCCTCCTATTAGCATGTCCAAAATACGTGAGATGTAATCTTATCATCCTTGCTTCTAAGGAGCATTCTGGTTGTACTTCTTCCAAGATAGATTCGTTTATAACCATAGTGGAAAGAAAAATTAAGGCAGCTTCTGGGTTTGTCCCAGCAACGTGATTTGCTATGAATGACGCATGACCCTGAAGAAGGTTGGCATGCAAGACCACTTCTAGTTGACAGGCATGGCTGTATTTTCATTTTGCCAGAGAGTCTGTCTGTTCATGTGTTAGCAGAAATGATGGTGGCATGAAGAAAACATGGGAAGGAGAAGTCATTTCAAACCACGAGATTGAGAAGCTAAGCAAAAATATGAAACCGATAGGTCTTATTTTCACCAAACTAATAAGCTTTTCTTCAGTGCCTCAATCTCTTTTTTTGTAACTCCTCATAGATGTTAACATCAAAGTTTTCAAAAAGGGTTTGATTTACAACAAACAAACATACCAAAAAAAAAAAAAAGCAATGATTTCATGTGGAATGGAAAACTAGAAGAGTGATGGTTGAAAAAAGAAGATCTTTTATTGCACCTTATTTGAAAGTATTATGAGGTGTCTATTATGATGTGGACGGCATTAGACCAAATATTTTGATAATTTTGCTATCTTGGAATTCTCCTTTATTCATAATAACTCGATTACTGGCCTTTATTCAGGCAGGCATTAAGCAATACATATAAAAATTGTTCTAAATTTACATGGAGAATTTTGTCTACTGCCAATATTTAAAACATTATTTTGTTATTACATTGCATATTTACCTTTACAGAAATATATATGTATTACAAGTAGCATATGTATGTTTCTTATGTATTTTTTTTTAAGTGTAAACATTAACTTGTGTTCAACACATGACACATAAAGTGAAGCAATGTGGAATATTAGAATCTGAAATTGTTTAAGTTCCTAATTCCATCCTTAACAAGAAATATCATATTGGACAAACTCCTTAGACTGCCTGTGTTCTATTCTTGTTGGTAAAATTAATTTGTTGCACTTGGTGTTATCTATGTTTCCTCTGAAATTCCATGAGTCTTAAGTTCTAGTTATAATTACATGAAATCTATTAAATCATTTACATACTGATCACATACAATTATGAGAAGTGTAATCAGTAAATCAGTTGCTGTCAGATCAGTACTGACTCATGGTGATCCCATGTGTGTCAGAGTAGATTGTGCTTCAAAGGATTTTTAAAGTCTAATTTTTCAGAAGTAGATCACCAGGCCTTTCTTCTGAGGTGCCTCTAGGTAGACTAAAACCTCCAACTTTTCGGTTAACAGCTGAGTGTGTTAACTGTTTTTACCACCCAGGGACTCTAAGAAAAGAGAAGTAGGGGTAATTTTATGTATCTTTTTTGCCTTCTCACTAATTTATAGTTTGGCTACATACAAAATTCTCATTTAGTATTATTTTTTCCCCAGTATTTTGACATTTCTATCCTATTTTAACATCCATGCCAGCTGATGAGATGGAAGGATGACTGTGCCACTCTTTCATTTGTATATGATCTGATGGTGTTATGAAATTTCACACTGATGTGTTGACATAAGTCTTTTGTTATTGTCAGGACTAGACATTCAGGGGCCCTTTTCAATGTCGGAGTTTCAAATCCTTCAGTTCTAATGGGAGATTTCCTTGCGTTCATTCATTGATGATCCCTACAATTTGTCTTTCTGTTCTCTCTGTTTGTGGAATTTTATTAATATTTTCTTTTTGGATGTCCTGGATTAAAAAATTATTTGTATTGTCTTTAACTATAAATTTATATCTTATATTCTGTACCACTTTTATGATGATTTTTTCATCTTGCTTTTCTAGTTCTTTTGAATTCCTTCATAGTGATTTTTTTTCTATTTCAAGTTTTATTCTTATTCTGTTCTTGTTTTTCCCTATTATTTTGATTTAATTTTAGATGCTTACATTTTTTAATATCTCTAATATTAATTGGAGCTTTTAAAACTTTTGTAATCCTTTTTTTTTCTCTGAATTGTGTGTTTCAAACACACTAAGTGGAAAGGGATTTATAGGCTTTCATTTAATTTATTTTACTTCACCTTCATATTTCATTCAGTTCTCTACCATGTTTGATGTGTCCAAGCCCTAGCCATTCCCAGCTTGTGATGAGAAGAAAGATCACTATTTAACTACAACATATTATTCTAGTCTGCACATTTTCTACCCAGCTTCATACATCACTTTTCTATTAGCCTACAATAATTTACCCAAATTGCTTATCTGCTAATGGACAGTATGCCATTGTCTTTATTGAGGTCAGCCTATGCAGACACACTCAAGCAGTTGCATATATGCATACACACATATATATAATATAAAAATACATATTATTCCTATACATAGAAATAAAATATGGAAATTCTTTAGAAATATATATTATTTATCATTTTAATTTTGTCTAAAGAGAGAAGGTATACACAAATATAAACTCAATAGTCATATTGACCCAAAACCTGGTTCATATATTTTAGTTTACTATCAATTTATGCAAGAGAGTGATTTTACATTACACACTCACCATCAAGATAGCAAACCACATCTGGAAAAATAAAATTGAGTTTTGTTTCTTATATTCATTGCCATAAAACAATGTTATTAAATCAATGTTACATATATATATATATATATATATATTTGCATAAAACAAACAAAAAAACTTGTCGCCATCAAGTCCATTCTGGCTCACTGAGACCCTATAGGACAGAGTAGAATGGTCCCATAGGGTGCCCAAGACTAATCTGGTGGGTTCCAACTGCTGACTTTTTGGTTAACAGGAGAGTGCTTAACCAGTGTGCCACCAGGGCTCCTTAAATGTATATAATGTGTATAATATGTATGTAATATATTATTTTGTATATAGTATATATGTGTATACACGTCTGGGGGCATGTATACAGCATAAACACACACACGCATATATATGGATTTAAGTGGCAGCCCACAACTCATTACAAATTGGACTTATCAAATATTTCATTCATTATTTATGTGTGTCTGTGTGTAGGTATATAAATGTATGTATATACATCTACACACACATATTGTCTTTCAACTTCTGCACTGTCATATGTTCCACCTTACTGACTAGTGAAATTAATATGAACATCTGGGAATTCTGGATCATGTCGTTGCTGTTATTAGTTGCCATGGACTCAATTCTGACTCATGGCAACCTCATGTCTGCAGAATAGAACTGCTGCATAGGGTTTTCAAGGCTCTGACCTTTCAGAAGAAAATCGC